TGGCTTGTGTCTAATCTACTTTTTTTGTTTTTTAATTTCTTGGTAGTGCTGTAGATGTTAGTAAAGGAAGTGGTACATAAATGCAGGAGTGCATCTGGGAATGTACCAAACAAATAATATTAAATGTATTGTTCTGTGTCTGCAATCTGAGCCTTCTACTATGATCCTGAATAACACAGAAGTTGCTAATTAAAAAACCCTTTAAGAAAAATCTGCCAGTCACTACTTCTTGTTAGCTACTGAATCTGTTGTAATAGTCTTTTGGTGACAGGCATGACTTGAGCCAATTTCTTTTAGATGACATCATCTCTTGTATATGTGGCAGAGTGCATGATGTATTTTTTTTTTTCTTAGATAAATATGCACAAGGGTTTTCTGTACCTGGTTGTATACTTATTCCTTTAAAATGGGAACTTTTTTGGAAGAGACTTTACCTGTATGTAGAAGGAATAAAACTGCTATGGGAGAATAATGCTATAGCTCTTCAGTTAGAGGAACTTCATCTTAATATGAAACTATTCTTGGTTTTGGGTCACTTACCTGTTCCTTGACTAGGCAGGATCAGATGACAGCCGTTTGTGTTAGCCTGGCCTAGTACTCGGATCAGAAGTCGGAACTGAACCAAGTGCTGTCTTACACCTAGCCTCAGTGAGTGTGGGAGCGCTCTGTTATGTAGAGGATGACATCTGCATATGAAAGAACGGTGGGGAAATGAGTGCTAACCCAAACTAACCTCTTAAGACTTGCAAACAGATGCTCTAATTTCATTGTGAGGGCTCTGTGTTTTGCCTGATCTGAGTGAGACTAGTTCTGGTTGTAACTAAAAATAGCTGCTCTTAAATAGTATCCTGATGCAACCATCTGAAGATAACAGTAAAACCTTCTTGCTGTTTGTATTTCTTTGCTTATCTTTTTAAACTATTCTTCAGGAAATAAAGCTACCACGTGTATTTTGGCTGCTTCTTTTAGTGGATCCTTCAATGAGAAAAGAACTTTGTGGTTAACTTTGGAGTTATTGTCCAGCCTTATTGAAGCAAAAAAAAATTCAATAGTCACTCTTCTGGATGTGGAGTACTGTGCCCTAATGCTAAAAATACTTGGTTATTAAATGCTAAAAATACGTGGTTATTAAATGCACATGCAAAAAAAGATGGAGGAGAGGGGAAAAATACAAAGAGAAAGACCTCAGAGAGGTGAGGTCTTTTTTTTGCTTTTTTTTTTTCCTTGTTTCTCTAGCCTGAAAATGTAGAGAGGCTGTCAGTAGTCATAGCAAATGGCTGTCTGCCACATGGTAATGTACATTTGTCACCAATATGTAAGAGTGGTGTTTTTAAAAAATAGCATACTAAGAATTTTTGTCTCTTGCTGAAATATATACATTTGGCACAAGTACAGTGGCTCTAAGTGGCTCCTTCTAAGAAGGACCTTGCTACTAGAATGTGGTATGCTGGTAATATTTAATTGTATCTGTTCTTGTACTGGTGGCAAACATATCTGGATTTTTGGGTGGGGGATGGGAAGAACATTGTGTGTGTGGAAGCCTTTATATACAGAAAGGGTACGAACTTCTACAACAATGGCGAGCTATTTCTACTATTAAAC